TTGATTGGTTAATTATCACAGGCAATCATGGGTAGATCGGCAAAAATTAACCAATCATATGAATGTCTTCCTATGAATCTCCAATATTTGATTGTGGGAGGATATATCTTGAATGTCCCTATCAATAGCCTGGAGTAAGGGCTCGAAGGCCAGGATATATAGTAATGGTGAAAGGGGGTCCCCCTTGTCTAATTCCTCTTTTAACTCTAAATAGCTCTGATAGCATATCTGATTCAAATATATGAGCTTTTTGATTGGCGAACAAGTTCTCCACCAGATTTCTAAATTTCAGATTAAAGTTTATCTTTTCAAGAATCATTTGCAGGAAGGTATAATCTACATGGTCAAAAGCTTTTTGCTGGTCTACTAAAAGCAGCCAATGTTGTTTAGTAAGATCAGATTGATTCCTCATTACTGTAATTACATCTAGTGCTGGATCTGTAATTGATCTCTTTGAGACAAAACCCTGTTGGTGTGCTGGAATTACTAAGTTACAGATTCTATTTAATCTAGTGGCTATAATCTTCATAACGATTTTAGCATCGCAATTTACCAAAGAGATAGGTCTCCAGTTATCTATGTTATTCAAATCCGTTGTTTTCTTTGGAATAAGAGTAATTAAGTTTTTATACCATGAGTTAGGCAAAGACTCTGATCAGAGGACCTGATTATAAATTGTTTCTAAGACTGAGACAATGTCATTTTCAGTTTGTTTGTAAAACTCGTATGTGAAACCATCTAGCCCTGGAGATTTATTGTTTGGAAGTTTTCTAATAGTCTCAATTATTTCTTCTTTTATAATCTTCTGAGAAAGCTCCTTATTCTCAGAGGAAGAAATAGTAGGAAGACCATTTGTCAAGGTTGTTGCCGCATCTAGGTTAATCTTTTCTTCTTTGTAAAGCTTTGCATATTGCTCTTTAATATACTGTAGAATTCGGTCATTGTTAAGCTAAGGTGGGTTCTCATAATCCTTGACATCCTTGAGTGCAGAAGAGTTTGTATGGGATTTGAATTTTGAGAAGAAGTATTTTGTTGACTTTTCTCCCTGCTCCACCCAACTTGCTTTAGAATGTGTCTGCCATCTATCTGCTAATTGTAGCAGTTCATTCTGAATTTGAAGATTTAATTCATTAACTATTGTATGTAAATGCAGCTGACTAGGGTCTTTCGCTGGTTTCTCTTTTGATTTGGCCATCTTTCTATTTAATAGAGCCAAGCTACTCTCTGGGGCCCTTGGTTTTCTAAAGGCCCTTATGATCAATTAAATGCAAACTTTGTGCCAGTCTCAATCTGCTACAAAATTAAATGAATTAATTTCTGCTCTAACCTCTTTTTCTATAAGTTTATTCTTGAAACACTGTTTCTCAAATCTCCAAGATATTGGAGTTTTAAGTTTATCATTCAGATTTAAGGTACATTTAACTAATAGGTGGTCTGAATTGCTAAATAAAGTTTCTGTTTTTTCCACTAGTAAAACAAAGTTTTCATCAATGGAAATATAATCCAGTCTAGTTGCTATAGTTTAATTGTTTCATGTATTCGGAAATGTCAAGAAGGGGTCACTCTTTTCAAGAGTTGCTGAGTCGATAAATTTATTTGTAAAATTTTTGAGTTGTAAGCGTGTTGAATCTGATTGTGCTATAGCTTGACTAACACGGTTTGTCTCAGGATCTATATTAACATTAAAGTCTCCACCAAGTATATTTATTGATTCTTCATCTCAGGATGGACTCCATCTTTCAAAGAATTCACTTCTGTCTTTGTTGTTTGAAGGAGGCATATATATTAGTGACATGAAACATGTGGTCCTTGTAAGCGATTCTTATAAATATGATTCTTCCCCATGGGATGTCTGAGGATCCTGTAACTTAATTTTTTTTTTGCTTGCCAATATAGCAGTTTTGTCGGCCCAAACTGAATCAAAAGGCCATTGTTTTTTAAGAAAGTTTTTTGTACTTTGGTTCTCCAAGTTTGTTTCTTGTAAGAAGATTATGTCTAGTTTATAAGATTTAAGTAAAGTTAAAGTTTTTCATTGTTTTTCTTGATTGTTAAGCCCCTTTATATTAAGAAACTTTTTGTTTACTGTCATGAAGAAAGAGTGATATTTTAGTTAAGTAGAGAGATGTGTCCTCCCTTGGGTCTTTTGTAAGAAGAAGTCTTAAAATAGCTCTGTCTAGTTTTGTTATTATTGCTTTTTTCTTACTCATCACTGGTGTAAAACTATCTTCATCAACCTCTTCTGATTAGGTGTTGTAAGATTCGTTAACTTTCGCTTGATCTTTAAAGGCTTGAATGAGATTATTTAATGTAAGTTCATCTCTTAAAACATTCTGATCCTGAGGTTCCAAGGCATTCGGAACTAGTGATTGTATATAAATGAAATCAGAAGAGTTGGACTCCTTGTCTATTAATGTTTCCTTCTCTTTAGTATTATTCTTTTCCTCTGGCAATAAGAATGCGATTGTTGCTTCTACTATATCTTTGATTGCATTTTTGAGTGAGGTAATAGTGATCTCATTCTCTTTCATATCAGAGTTTTTTTTGATCAGTTCTGAAGATAATTTCTTTCTTACTGCCTTGTTCATATCTGGGTTTATTATTGAGGATTCTATATTAAGAGGACCAAAGTTGTCACTTCGGAGGTTGTTTATAACTCTGGCTTGTTCTTTATATTTTTGGTATTGTTCCTGGAGAGCGAGAGATTCTTGAAGCTGCTTGCATTCTTTCTTAACATGACCTTCCTGATTACAGAAAAAACAAATACTGTGGGCTGCCCTCCATTCTGTTGTAATCTTGTTGTCCCTGACATGGGTAAAACAAGGAAGGTTCTTTTCTAAATCTGGATCTTCTGTAGTTTTAAAAACAATGATCCACTGATCTATTAAGTAAGAGGTTCCTTCAATCAGGAGAGGTTTAATGGAATTGATTTTTCCAATATCCTCAAAGGCTTCTTTAATAAGTGTTGAAACTTGGTTTCTGTTGCCTAATGGAATGTTTCTAATTTTGACCAATAGGAATGACTTACAGATATCTGTTGGGATATAACCCATGTAGGTTTTATTAAAAATTTGGACCCCCTTTGTTGCATATTCTTTGAGTAAGTTGAAGCTTGCAAATACAATCTCTAATTGTAAACATGCTCTTTTTTTAAGGTGTTGCTTGATTGCTACAATATCTTTTCCTGCACTCTCATGGAGAGAAGAGATAATTTCGTTGAATGAGCTTAGTAATTGAAATATGTCAATGATAAGTGCATTATCATTCTTAGACTTAATTTGTTCTCTTGGAAAGAAAGTTGAGTATGTGGCCTGTCCTCTAGTAAGTTTAGGGAAGAGGTTTGCCCATTGCTTTGGAGTAGAAGGTTGAGGTTTCTCATCATCTAGAGTTCGGGTAGAATTTAAATTTTCTGATTGCCTATATGAGTTATTTTCTGATAGTTGGAGTCCTGTGTTTGTGTGTGGTAGTCACGTGAGAGACCTGCTACAACCGGGTCCTTCACCAATACATGTTTTGTTTTGATGTTTTGTTTACTTTCTTTGTTTACTTTTAGAGACGTGATTGAAAAATCCCAAGAGTTCTTCTGCTCAACCAGGTTAGCCCAACTTTTTTGCTTGTTTGTATGAAGAGTAGTATTAAGTTTTTTTAAGATTTCAAACATATTGTTGATGCTTAAAGCTTTTTCCTCTGGCAGGGGAAGGTTAACTTTGTCATTTTGATTCTTGATTTTTGCTTCACCAAAGACAGTTTTCTTAACCGGTTCTGTCATTTTGAGTTTTTTGCAAGTTGTTTTTGGAAGTGTAAAGTGAGAGAGACTTTCCTTTTTTGTTATGAGGGCCTTGACCCTTACTGGACTTGATTTGAAAAAGTTTTCTTTATTGCTTGAATTGGTTATTTTGTTTTTTGTTGATAACTCTATTCCTGCCAAATATGTTCTTCTTTTGTTTTATCTTTTTTTATATACTATTATTGTTTTTTTTTCAATATTAAGGTAATCTCTTTGTCAATGGCAATTTATTATCATTAAGTATTATTTTGGTATACAATAAGAGTACATCTTTTGAGTACCTAATTTAAGTAGTCCGCCCGAAGGTTCTACACTATCTGCTATATCTGCACCCCAACTAGGGGGGTATCCATTTAAACCCTCTAATCATATCCTTATTTCCACAATGTAGAATTTAAGACCTGAGTGTAATCTTACCATGCACACCAAGACATCATAGATTTATGTAACACCACTAGATTAATAGCCAGACTTAGAACAGGACCATATATTCTGATTTATCCTCAAGATAAACCTGCCAGAGTGGTATATTCCTATATATGTATTCATCTAGACTTCAGTAACTTATGTCATGCCTTAATTCATGTACTTGGGGTTGGGTTAACTATTGAACCCCTACTATTACCTACTTCTACTTTTTAAAGTTTACAGATCTCTGTACTATATTTCATCACTTTTTGCACTCTACCAAATTCAAAAAGCCTAGAAGGATTGGTCTGCTGGACCTAAGTTTTTCAGGCTCAGATCTGGTAATCAATCCCTAGTTCACGATTTCATAGCACATGATCTTTTCCTCCAAAGGTCACCGTTAGGTATCCCTAGTAGCCAGGTTGGTAGATCCTTTGCTCGAAGAATCTTTGTCGCACAACTTCTTTAATTTTTGGGGTCTAGTCAGATCTGTCCTGTAGTATCAGGTCGCACTTGGTTAGATCAATCTACTACTTTCTTAATCAGAATTTGCCAAGCCAGTTTCAGTTTTTCAGGCTACTATAGATCTTACGTTGATTAAGATGACTAATCGTAGATTTGCAGTATCTATACTGGTTTGCATTCCTTTGTGCAATAACACAAATACATTTATGTCTCCCAGCATTGGTATGCCCCAGTTTATAGGGTATCATAGCATGAGCTATGGCGTAACAAAGCCCCAGCCCATTTAGAACTTAGTACTTATAGCCAACAAACTTGGAGGTGCGACAACTCCACCACTTCACTATGTCGCTACACTATTATTGTTATACAATACATAAAATATAAATCTATATATTTATTTTTATTTTAAAATTATATTTAAAAATTTTATATGTTTATTTCTGTACAATATTGCATGGGTTTACAACTAGTTTCTATTCTAAATATATGGGGTGGAGTCAATAGAAAAGGGACAAATTTTTTCTAAGTAAAAGTTTTCTTGAATTTAAGCTTAAATATCTC